CGTGGATGGTGGCTGCCCAGCCTCCCAGGGCCGCCTGAAGCTCAGGTAACCAGGCCGGCCGAGGCTTGCACTGCCAGCAGTGGCAGCAGCAGAGGTGTGATAGGGCATCGCCTTCCCCTAATCGCCGGGTCGCCTCCCGCCCCTGCGGGCTCCCAGACTGTGAAAGGGGGCAGGCCGGGCTGAGGAACCCCACTCCAGTGTATGAATTTTCATGCACCAGGCCTCTAGTAGTATTATAATAAACATTGAATGCTGGAATCAAACTAAAAAGCTTGAAGACCCTGGCCTGACCTCCAATAAGTGACTATAAGGACAGAAAGCAAGGCTGGGCAATGGGAGGAGCAGATATTAAAAGAAATACAAAACCAAAGATTAGAGGATGCACAAAGTAGCTTTCAGAATCAGATATTAGAAACTTCTTTATCCAGCACTTTCATCTTACAAATAAGAAGTGAGGCTCAAAGAGCTTATCGGTTTTTCAAGGCAACACAGTGCCCCAATAGGCAAAGAGGGTTGGTTTTCAGGGTCTTTCTCTGGCATACCGCCTCTATCCCCACCCATGAAGATCATGTATGAACCTTACTTCTCTATATATCTCTTTTTCCTCAGGTAGAGCCTTCTGCCTCCTCATTTCTTTTTATTATTTTTTCATTTTCTCACCTCTCATAATCTTCTTCCTAGGTTCTTGGCCTGCCAGTGGTCCTCAACAGCACCCATAAAAACTATTTACCCACCTGAGGACATCTATAATCTGTAATAATAAAAGCGTAATATGCTAATTAGACCAGATTGTCCTTCCGGACGACCTTCAGGATAAAGCCATGGTGGCAGGGGCCGAGGCAGAGGTGGCCGCCACAGCAGCAGTGGCCAAACCCCTTGCACGAATATCGTGTATTGGGCCTCTAGTTCAGGTATAAGCTGATGACCTTGCTCAGCATTAACAGGGAAATATAACAACCTCTTCATTCCCACTATCTGGGTCAGACCCCCATCACCAAATATCTAGATTACTAGTATTATAATAGTTTCCTCTCTGGTGTTCCTATTCCTCCCATCCCTTCTCTTATCTCCTCCAATTAGATTTTGAGCCCCCTAAGAACTTCCTTACTAATTTCTGAATGCCTAGCATGACCGGTCAACTAGTCGCGTCAATAAAATATATATTTTTTT